CCCAGAATTCTCCAGCCAGCTATGCTGAGTTAGGGGGAGAACAAAAGCTACCTTCCAACCATGACTGGAGAGGCTTCTGATTTAATGACCAGGAATGTACCGCAAAGTGTCTCCTGCCTGCATGTTACTCGCTGTGTTTATTTTTCTTTGTCTGTTATTTTAGTGTTTGTGCTTGGTTTTTTTTTTAAAAAGGAAAACCACTTCAAGCTTAACCCCAGCCCTACATTACAAACCTGCACATGTGGCCCGAGGAGGGGGGGGGGAGGTCCAAGGACCACAAGCAAGACTTGAGGAGGGGCTGGGCGTTGGTTGGCTATCCTCTTATTAAAGGAAATCCCCCCCCCAAAAAAAAACACCCAACTCTCTTTTGAATGACTTGAACAAAATTTGAGGTCCAGAAGTCCAAGGTCCATTTTTTGAGTCCACAGGGACTCAAAGAACCAATGGTCAAAGCAAAGGGCCAGAGATCAGGGCGCTTCGCAGCTGGAATTGGTCCTCCTACAGAGGCTACAGGGTGGCAGCTTCATGGAAGAATTTTCTTTTCCGAGATATTCATAACGTTGTGGGGTTGAAAGGCCCAAAGAAATAGATCAAGTGTCTTAAGAAGAGAAGCCCCCGATTTGACTGTCTAACTGATCTCATCAGTTCAACAGGAATCCGCCTGTCTGCAATTTAAATCTGCGATTCTTTCTCCTCTGGTTTGGGGTGATAACACATCAGGTTGTCTTTTATATGAACATCCCTGCAGGTATTTACAGAGTGTCTTCCCCTTCAGAGCCAAGCGAATAAATGTAATAAATAAGATCCACATCTTTGAAGTGAATCATGCAGTCATGAAACCAAACCCAGCTTCCCCCGTTGATGTAGCTTGTTGGAGGCCAGCTGAGAAGCTTGCAGATGGTGGTCATGTGATCCCAAGGATGAATGCCTGAATTTTGATCACGTGACCACAAGGATGCTGCAATGATCATAAACGTGAGGACCAGTTAGGTGCAAATCACTATTTTTCTATGCCATTATTTTACTGCACAGACATGAAATGAATGGTTTGTAAGTGGAGGACTAGCTGTACTATTAACTACTATTTTAAGTCCTGCTTTAGTTTAGTCCCACTGAAATTACCAAGGTGCCAATTTCGTTCAGATCTAGCCCATAAATTAAAAAAAAAAAAAAACTACCAGCCCTCTCCAAGTATACCTTAGTTTCCGGTTTCATCTTTGCTTTCTTCCTTCCATCCCAAGAGTTTTCAGTTTCCTTCTTTTTCTTCTTTTTCTTGACCTGCTGTACTTGGCTGCCCTCAAATCCATCCGGGTCATCTCGTTTCACTTTGTGTTTCTTGGCTTTCTTTCTCTTTCCCTTTCCTCCTGGTGCTCCCACCTTCCATGAGATGTCTTGGCCAGCTTCTGAAAAACGGCTTGCATCTCCGGCTTGTCTTTTTGCCTTCTTCTTTGCAGCTTTATTAGCCTTGCCAACCGCTGCATCTTTCTCAGATCTGCATTTTAGACTATATTCACTCATCATATTGCAGTGGTTTTCCTGGATCTTGGCTAAGCAGGAAAGAGAAGCAGGACTTATTTTATTCAGCTTCTTCTTGTTCTTTTTCTTCTTATGGATGGCTTCACTGTCTTCTTCTGATCTAGGGGCCAAATCGTTCCGTCGTTGCATAGGTCCATCCTTACTTTGGGCATCTTCGCACTTGCAGCTGGCAATGTCTTTTTTTGAAATGTTCTCAAGGTATTTTTTGTAGTACTCAAAGTATTTCTTCTCGACTTTGTCACCCACAACTTTCTGCTCAAGGGTCCTACTCTTTTTCTGACCGGAGGGCATTTCTTGGCAACTGGGTTTTAGTTCTGCAGAGATCTGCTTCACGTCCTCTTCACTGTCACCACTGGGTAAAAGCTCAAGGCAAGCAGGTTTGTCTTTTCGTTTTTCCTTTTTCTTCTTTTTCCTTTTCATCACCGATTCTTCATCTTGCCTGCCAACTTCAAGAACAGCCTTTTCGCCTTTCTTACTCACATGAAAATCAGTACCAGGCTGCCCTTCATCCAAACCATCGGAGTTTTGGATTTGTATACAAAAAAGCTTTCGGTCTTTCTTTTTTTTGAACGCCTTATTTCTTTTCTTGGTGTCTCTTAATTCTAAATCTGAGCTGCTTTCTATAACCACGGGAGAGCTTGCCCGTGCTTCCTTCTTTGATTCAGAGTCACTCTGTTTCTTCTTTGGATCTGGCAGATCTGAATTGGTTTCTTTTACCAAATATTTTAATTTTGGGGGCTTGGCTTTTTTGCCTAAACCTGAACAGTGTCTTTTGGGGCTTTCAATTATAATAACCTGGCCGCAATTAGGATCTTCAGCTTTGTTCCTTTTCCTTGCTGTTTGCTCAGAATTCTTCATATTTCGGGGAACTTCTCTGGAAGTGGGCACAAAAATTCACAAAAGAAAGAGGTTTTAGATTACAGAATTCTTACAAATGGTGAACAGACCTCAGCTTATTAAGTAGCATACATTTATCACAACACATATGCAAGGGCAATTATTTGTAACAGAACACTAAACAAGGCCAATTTCTTTTCAAGCTACAGGCAGTCCTCAACTTACGACAATGGAGCCCAAAATTTCTGTTGCTAATCAAGACAGTTGAGAAGAGAGTTGTGTCCACTTTAAGGACCCTTTTTTGCCAGCTAAGCAAATTACTGCAGTTGTTGAGCAAATCTGGCTTCCCACATTGGCTTTTAAGGTGGCTGAGCGATCCCATGGCCCCGGGACACTGCAACAGTCATAAATATATGCCAGTTGCCAACAACATACCTAATATTCCTTCCTCTTCCTCTTCTCACAAGAACAACCCTGTGAGGTAGGTTGGGCTGAGAGGGAGGGACTGGCCTAAAATCATCCAGCTGGCCTCCATGCCTAAGGCAGCACTACAACTCACCGTCTTCTAGTGGTTGGTACCCAGATGGCTTTTATGCTTAGGAGGCACTAGAACTCACCTGGTGATTGGCCCAAAGTCATCTAACTGGCTTCCATGACTAAGACAGCACTAGAACTCACCACCACCTAGTGACTGGCCCAAAGTCACCCAGCTGGCTTTCATGTCCAAGGTGGCATTAAAACTCACCATCTCCTGGTGATTGCCCCAAAGTCACCCAGCCAGCTTTCACATCTAAGGTGGCACTAGAACTCACCATCTCCTAGTGATTGGCCCATAGTCACCTAGCTGGCTTTCATACCTAAAGCAGAATTACAGTTCACCATCTCCTGGTTATTGGCCCATAGTCACCTAGCTGGCTTTCACGTCCAAGGTGGCACTAGAACTCACCATCTCCTGGTGATTGCCCCAAAGTCACCCAGCCAGTTTCCACACCTAAGATGGGACTAGAACTCACCGTCTCCCGTTTTCCAGCCCGCCCCAGAAAACGCTGTTTTATACAAGCGCTGCAAAAATACACCCATTGCAAAGATTGCATTCGTGGAAGGGGCTGCACAGCTGTCCCCGCAATTGCACCGGTGGCTGCAAAGGCGCTCTGCACAAGCCCCGAGGCACACCCACCACCACCAATGATCCCCTTGCCAGACCCCCCCCCCAAAAAAAGCCCTGCCCCCATTCCTGCTAAGACCCGGACTGAAATACCCGGGGAGCCTTTCCCCAACCTGGCTCCCACGCAGCCCACCCAAGGGAGAACCCACCCACCCCCTCCCTGCTCACCTCGCTCGCCCCTCACCACGCGGGACACCCGGCACTTCCTCTCCCGCCGGTGGGGGGGGGGGGGG